GTGTGTGTGTGTGTGTGTGTGTGTGTGTGTGTGTGTGTGTGTGTGTGAAGACAGACAGAGAGAGGGGGGACAACTCTGGTCAGAGTGTGGGCTAAAGCTTGCGGGAGGAGCTAAACAGGGGCAGGAGGGCTCGTCCCAGCACCCAATCAGGTGTCTTGAATTTTCTTCCCAGTTCACGGATGAGAAAGCAAAGGAAGGCTCGGGGAACTTCAAGGTCATATAGACAGCGAAGGTTAGAACTCTATTCTGTCTAAGCTCCATTTCCCCATTTTATGTTGGGTGTGTGAGTGTATATGTGCGTGGGGGCTTAATTCCTTCTTCCATTTGAATGAGAAAATGCCGCGGGGCGGGGGGCAGGGTGGAGGGAGGTGGGAGGGCGGAAGGGCTCTGGCAATTCCCGCTTCTAGGAGTAAAGGCGCCACACTTTTGGAGCTGTCTCTCTTTGGGAAATTCACCAGGATGGGCCTTTATACAAACATGAGGCAAGTCCCCGCCCATTGTCCTTGGGGAGGGGGTGGGGTCACCCCAATCTCTACGCAGATGGAGCGGAGTGCCTTGAGTTCTCTTGAATGATGTGAATCTATCTTTTTAACCACCCTTCACCCTTGAGGAATGGGGGAGAAATAATCTTCCCGGAGCGAGATTCCAACTGGACATGAGGTGCCTCCTCGGGAGGTTTTTGAAGATTGAATAATGGAGATGAGGAAGGTACTGCGGACCCTTGTGACTGATTGGTATGGGCCATCCAGTCATTCATTAATTCACCCAAGCTCTGCTAGGCTTTGGGAATTTACTGGCGAGTTACCCACCAGCTGAACTTTGGGAGAGTTAAAAGGGCAGCAAAGCAGCCCAAAATAGTAGAGCTAAGATTGTAACTGACCGCTAGACCTGTGAAGCCCACCTGGAGTCTTGATGTCAGGGTGGTGGGAGAATGGGGTCTCTGGGTCGTGTCAGTATTTGGATAGTTTAAGATCAGGATGATCCAGTGGGTGGTAAGATAAATTTACAGTTAGAGTCTGGAATCAGGGAAATGCAGCTTAGAGACGTGTTTGGTTAGTAGAGGTTATTTTTTCATTTGAATTTAAATGCCTTTAGGTGGGGATTGGACTCCCAGCTTCCTGGGTTCTCACCACTCCTTACTGGCCCCATCGGATTTACATTACAGGCCGTCTGCCCAGCCCTGTGGCTAACAGAGTTTTCCACCCTAACAGTGGATGTCTCCAAGTTTTGAGAGTCTATTAATTCAAGTATAAATGAACCAAAGGCAGATGTGCAGAATCTGGTAATGGTTTTAAGCTTTGAACTTCTCTCTGAGTCTCACTGGAATGAGATAATAATGGTGATCTTTACTGGTGATCTTTATTGATGACAATAATAATTGGTGATAAATAATGGTGAATAAGTTGACATTCATTTCCATTCATTCCACATGTTTATTAAGAACTGCTATGTGTCAGCACTTTTCTAGGTCTTGGGAGTACAGCAGTGAAGAAAACAGACAAAAATGGAACTTGAATTCCAGCGTGGGTGGAGGGAGACAGACAGTAGAGAAGATACATGATTGAAACGCATGGTGTATTAGACGGTGATAAGTACTATGGAGACAAAGTGGGAACGAAGGTAAGAAGTTTGGGAGGAGGAAGGCTTAGATAGGGCGGCCATCGTGGGCTTCACTGAGAAAATGAATCTTTAGTAAAGACCTGAATTAAGTGAGGGAGCTGCCATTGGGGGCAAAAACAGGCAGAGAAAGCAGCAAGTGCAAAAGCCCTGAGGGGGGACCAGGCCTGGGGTTTTAGAGTAGCCCTGTCAGCATACCATGCACTGTTCTAAGATATTTCACTTCTATGAGGGAGGTAACATTATTGTTCCCATTTACAGATGGGCAAACTATGGCCGGAGAATCTAAGAAACTTGCTGTGGATTAGATAAGAGGTGGAACCAGGCTTCTAACCCAAGCTGCCTAACTCCAGAGCTTGTGCTTTTAAATACTAAGCTGTGTTGAAGAGATCAGACCCAGGTACTGAAGACTTACACCTCCAGCTATAAGCAGCCTTCCAAGCCCTGGAGGAAAACCCTGGGTGTGGTGGGAGGGGAGGGAGTGACTCAGACCTTGGCTGGCTTCCCGCTGAGTCACTGCCGAGGGGCCATGAAAGGAGTCGAGTGGCACTCAGGCTTCACCTCCTCACACTGGTAAATTCCTGTCTTCTGGGGGAGATGCCTGGCGGCAGACCCGAACCACACATCGTTGGTGGACAAGTTCGTCTGACTTTCCTAACAGCTCTGTTGTGGAACCGTGGGTGGGCTCCATTTCCTGGTGTGGCCCTACAGCCAGCAAGAGGGAACACTCCCGGAAGTTGACTTTCTGCCCAACCTAGCTCTGTATCCTCCAACGTGTCCTGGATGGACACATTCTGTCCCTCGTCAGGCTGGCTGTGTTGCATCTCAGGTGAACTCTTCAAGAACAGCTGTGTGCTTGCCATGCCACTACAGAGAGCAAGATGCAAAGGGCAGCCACACACGTTGCCCTGGGGCTCATTCTCTTGACATAGTCATTCAGGAAGACAGCAAGGAAGAAATGCGTAAGTACTACGGCAAGTATGTCAAGTTTGTTATGATTTCAAAACAGGGATTGACGAATAACAGTAGCTAGCAGGGACTGAGCACTAATTACGTGCCTGGCGGTTTCGAAGTGCTAACCATGGTATATCTCATTTTCATAGTTCTCACAACACCTAGTTAGGGAAGTGCTTCCCATTGTACAGAAAAGACAACAGAGGCTCAGAGAGGTCACACATAGGAAAGGGCAGGAAGGACAGTGGGAATAAAATCCTGGAGTCAGGAAAGTACGAGCCTGGGCTTCCCTAGCAGTCCGGTGGTTAAGACTCCGTGCTTCTGGGCTTCCCTGGTGGTGCAGTGGTTAAGAACCCGCCTGCCAATGCAGGGGATGTGGGTTCGATCCCTGGTCTGGGAGGATCCCACATGCTGCGGAGCAACTAAGCCCGTGCGCCACAACTACTGAACCTGAGCTCTAGAGCCCATGAGCCACAACTACTGAGCCCGTCAGCCACAACTACTGAAGCCCAAGTGCCTAGAGCCCATGCTCCACAACAAGAGAAAGCACCACCATGAGAAGCCCACTTACCAAAATGGAGAGTAGCCCCCGCTCACTGCAACTAGAAAGCCCACGCAGAGCAATGAAGACCCAACACAGCCAAAGATAAATTAAAAAAAAAAACGGGGTTTGATCCCTGGTCAGGGAACTAAGATCCTGCATGCTCCGCAACGCAGCCAAAAAAAAAAAAAAAAAAAAGAAAGTACAGCCTGGATTTAGAGAGCTCCAAGGAGCTGGAGCAAAAGGATGGAGGAGGGAGGAGGATAGTGATGGATGAAGCTGGAGAGGACCAGTGAGACCAGACTATGAAGTCTGGACTTGAGTTCATAGTAGCAGGGAACCACTGAAGATGTTCCATCATGTTTCTCCTTGGTGCCCCAGAGGTATCACACCTTCGTCGCTTTGGTTTAGGGTCACTTTGGAGCATGAATAGTGGAGACTGAACAAACACAGTGGGAAGAACTCATACTGTCTGCATGGTGAGATCCCTCACTAGCTCCTCGCTCACCAAGCATCCTCTGTATTTGTTGAACCTCTGCTGCAGAATATCCTTGGATAAGAGCTGTATGTTCCCAGGAATGTGCTGTCCACAGCTGGCTGGTCCTCTCCACTCTGGCCATGCCCACCTTCCCTGATTCACATCTTTTCCTGGCCTTCACCTCCCTCCTCCCCAATTCTAATGTGCACATAAGTTGTTTTTGTCTAGCTGGCATTTCCACTACTTTTGCAAAGCTTCTCTTCCCTGTGCTCCTTCTGCGATCTAGCCAGTTTGCCTCACAACACTTTCTTGTGGTAGACGCCATTCGTTACCTACCCAATCTAGTCTCCTTCCTTCCTGGCTTAAGAAACCCCAATTTTGTTCAGGCTGACCACATGGCCAGCCCCAGGCCATGGATCATGATACATCTAAGCCAATCACATCCCTATTTCTCACTTTTCTAGACTCCCTTGCAGGTAGGGTATCCACGTGACCCAGTTGTTGCCTATAAGACCCGAGGGGAAGTCTGCTCTGGGGCTTCTGAGAAAGCTTTCAATTTTTTGACAAAAGAAAACAGCCTCTTCCCCATGACAAACCCTTCCCACTGCCCCCAAGGTAAACACAGTCGTGATGGCTAGAGCTCTCTGCAGGCTGGGAGGATGTCCACTGAGGGTTCTCAGCAGCCATCATTTGGAGAACGCCTGCTTTCCGAGGAGAGCGTACCATCAAACACAGAGAGAAAAGCATCAGAGCAGGGAGAGAGAGAAAGAGAGAAAAGTTGAAGTCTTATGTGAATGTCTTTATTCATACCTGAAAGCAGAACTACCCCTGGAATTCCAAGTTATGTGAACAATGCATGCCTTTCTTTTTTCCTTATGCGTGTTGAGATGGGTTTCTATTATTTGTAACCAAAGGTCCAGGTCTCCCATCTTGATGATAAATGTTCCACAGGACTCCCAACCTTCCTCTGCCTGTAACACCTGTGACCTTGATGGACTGTTAGGATGTGTGTGAGTCACATGTCATCCACCTGCCCGCCCTCAACCTCAGCACCCCCTCCCCAGCACACACACACAGACACACAGACACACAGACACACACATACACACACACACACACACACACACACACACACACAGATATCTCCATCTCTACCCTCTTGGTAAAAGCTGGCCCAAGGGAATGAGGAATCAGGAAACCCAGGGTGTCACCACAAACTAAGGCCACTTCAACTCCACATTGTGCTCAGAATGCCCTTGCAACACCCTTGTTTGAGAAACACTACAGTTAAGAAATGGGAGTCAGAGAAAAGCGGGCTGGGTGGGCAGGGGTGGGGTGCATGCGGTCCATGTGATCTGGGAGGGAATTTTGAGATTGTGCAGCTGTTCTCTCATTTGTTCATTCATAAAACATTCCTTTTGCCTTTATTTATTATTCTTATTGTTAATTGAGATATAATTGACATATAACATTAGTGTCAGGTGTACAACATAATAATTTGTTATTTGTATATATTGTGAAGTGATCACCACAGTAATCTATCATCACACAGTTATAAATCTGTTTCTCCTTGTGACGAGACCTTTTAAGATCTACTCTCTTAGCAACTTTCAAACATACAATAGTATTATTATTTTTTTTTTTTTTTGGCCACGCCGAGACATGGGATCTTAGTTCCCTGACCAGGGATTGAACCCATGCCCCCGGCAGTGGAAGCACAGCATCCTAACCACTGGACCACCAGAGAAGTCCCTACAACAGTATTATTAACTGTAGCCAACATGCTGCGCATTACATTTTATGACTTACTTATTTTAAACTGGAAGTTTGTACCTTTTGATCCCCTTTACCCATTTTGCCCACCCCCAACTCCCCCACCCCACCTCTGGCAGCACCGATCTGTTCTCCACGCAACACATTTCTCTGTTGAGCATCTACTTCGTGCCAGAGTCTAAAATGTTCCCTGCTTTCTCTATGTTTGCGAGGAAATGTAACGTACAGTATATGAAAGATACAAAACGAAGAAACTGGTGAGTCTCCATCTTCTCTCCTTCTCAAAGAGGAAATGACCTTAAAATAAAACAGATGAAATCCAGATTGGCAATGAGAGAGCCTTACTACTGAGTGGGATTTGGGATGTTAAAATGAGATATCACATTGGGAGTGAGAATCTCCTTTCCTGGAAACCTTCAGGATGAAGATCTAAACCACTGACTCATCATTACTAGGCACCTCCATCGGGTAATGCATAAAGCAAAGGCTTCCGAGTGAAGCAACTTAGCTTTGAATCCTGACTCCTTTCTTGAAATGGGTGGGTTTTGACAAATTGCTAAATCTCCCTGAGTCTTAGTTTTCTCTGAGTTACTGTGAGTGTTGTACGAAGACAATATTATGTACTATTGTTTGAGGGCTGACTATATTCTGGTTCTGATCTAAGCTCTATATGTCTCAATTCATTTAAACCTCACAACAAATGAAGAAACTAAGGCTTCGGAAGGTCAAATACCTTGCTGGTCAGTTGTAGAGCCTGGCTTTGAACTCAGGGAGCCTGGCTCTAGAGCTTTTGCTTGTAACCGGGTCACTTACTGCTGCCGTTCTTGGTAAAATGGAGACTCCTTTGTTTCAGTCACTAGGAGAGTGGTAAGTAAGATGCATGGGCTCTGGGGCCACACTGCCCTGGTTCAGATCCCAGGTTTATCACTCCTTAGCTGAGTTATTATGAGCAAATCATTTCACTTCTCTATCGCTGTCTTGATTTCTTCATTTGTAAAATGGAGCTGATAATAATGTTCTTAGGCTTTTTGTGAGAATTGAGTGAGTTAACACAATAAACTTTTTTTTTAAAGGCCATTGATTTTTAAAAAAAATTTATTTAGGCTGCGCTGGGTCTTAGTTGTGGCATGCGGGATCTTCGTTGTCGCGTGCAGGCTCTTTAATTGCAACATGTGGGATCTAGTTCCCTGACCAGGGATCAAACCTGGGCCTCCTGCATTGGGAGCACGGAGTTTTAGCCATTGAACCACCAGGGAAGTCCCAACACGATAAACTTTGATTCATACCCGGTACATGGTAAATGCTCAATAAATGTTGCCTAGTATTTTCTTTCAGGTCTCTTTGCTGCCTCAGGGAGGTTCCCCTCCCCACCTCCACCCAATCTGAATTATGTTCCTTCTCCGAGCACCATGTTCCTTTCCCATATAACACTCAGGACGACTTGCAATCATGTATAATTGTAACCACCTCACAGGGTTGTTATGATGATTAAATGAGATAATGTGAGTAAAGCAGAGCTTCCTGGCATATGTTTGGCTCTTGGCAAGTGTAAATTGTTATATTATTATCACCATTATTTACACTGGATGCCTTCCTTGGTTGAAATCACTGATGTTTTGATGTATTGACAATTTCACTAAATTGAAGGCACCTGTCAATCATAACCCACACCATTACTGATGCATTTCTAAGAAATACAAAATCATGACACAAAGCTTTCCTATCACGTAGAATTTCCATTTCATGCATATTGAAAGAGCTCTTTTAAGTCTTATTTAGACATAGATTTTTATCATGTATCAAGCTGCTCTGTTTCCTTGCCTTTTTAATACACAATAACTTTTCATTTCAGTGCCAAATCAGCGTGGAATCTTTTTGAAGACATTGTTAGTGGCGATTAAACCAACACCTGTGGTGCTAACAATGCAAAACACTCAAGGGAAAGGATGACGAGACGGAGAACTGTGACCAAGTTGGTGCACGTGCAGTCAGCTGCAGCTATATCACGACTATCTCCTGGCTGCCTGCAATTTGAGATACTGTTGATTACAACATACAGCCTTATTTCAGAGATGTAAAAATATGAAAAAAACGTGTCATAAGTTTGATGGAATACAATATTAAAATTTAAATGTCCTCGCTAACAGTCATGTGGTTCCTTATTTGGTTTTCCGAAAGCCACCGTGGTTCAGATCAAACCTATATAGGTTTTCCTTCTTTTTTTTTTTTTTTTTTTGCGGTACGCGGGCCTCTCACTGTTGTGGCCTCTCCCGTTGCGGAGCCCAGGCTCCGGACGTGCAGGCTCAGCGGCCATGGCTCACGGGCCCAGCCGCTCCGTGGCACGTAGGATCTTCCAGGGCCTGGGCACGAACCCGTGTCCCCTGCATCGGCAGGCGGACTCTCAACCACTGCGCCACCAGGGAAGCCCGGTTTTCCTTCTAAGTAATGGCTTCATCTTTAGCAACAAGCTTTGCGTTTGTTAAAGCAATGCTGGCTGCTGTAAAAGCTAAACCCTAAAACCACATCGGTTAACACTCTAAAGGTTTATTTCTTGCTCGTGTAAAGTCCAAATCAGGTGTTCCTCGTTGGCAGCAAGGGCTTCACTCCATGTGGTCATTCAGGGATCCAGATACATAGATTTTGTGTTGCAACAGATCATTTCAAGGGCTTCCCTGGGCCTGTAACATAGAAGGTTTCGTGGGCTGAGCCTGGAGGTGGCTTGCACAACACACTTTTTCTCACATTCCACTGTCAGATCTTGATCCTATGGCCACATCTAACTGCAAGGGAGGCTGGGAAATGTCCTCTAGCTGTGTCACCGGGAGGAAGAGGAGTTCGGTGATCAGGCACCAATATCTGCTCCAGGCTTTGTGGGAAATTCAAGCACTGTGACGGGCATGCTTATAAGTGAATTCATTTCACCCTCACAGCAACCCCCTAGGTGGTTGCTATCTTCATTTTACAGGTAAAGAAACTGAGGCTCAAAGAGATGCAATGACTTGCTCAAGGCCACATCGCTCCACAGTCAGGGAGCCAGAGTTGGAGGTCTTGCTCCCTATGTTCTTCCATTACACCCACCTGCCTCTTATTATTATTATTTTTTTGCGGTACGCGGGCCTCTCACTGTTGTGGCCTCTCCCGTTGTGGAGCACAGGCTTCGGACGCGCAGGCTCAGCGGCCATGGCTCACGGGCCCAGCTGCTCCGCGGCATGTGGGATCCTCCCGGACCGGGGCACCAACCCGTGTTCCCTGCATCGGCAGGCGGACTCCCAACCACTGCGCCACCAGGGAAGCCCCCACCTGCCTCTTTGAACTATCCAAGAAAGGCAAGGGGGGGAGGGATTCAACAGTCCTTCTCAGATGGAGCTGATTCACCTATAGGGTATAGTTGGGTTTTTTCCAAGGCCAGCAATTTCACCTGTAGTTAGTCACCTCTTACTGGTGGATGGGAGGGGACCAGGTTACAGGGTTTGCTACCCACTAATAGCCTGGGTTTCTTTTGGCTGAGTCTAGCTATACTGGGTACATGATTTTTGGGAGCGATCTTTTTTTTTTTTGACTGTGCCTCGAGGCTTGTGGGATCTTAGTTCCCTGACCAGGGGTTGAACCCGTGCCCTCGGCAGTGAAAGCGTGGAGTCCTAACCACTGGACCTCCAGGGTATTGACAATGGAGATCTATCTACACAGATGTTGATGTAAATGAGATTGTAGATATAGACATTAAAAGGAAACTTAAAAGTAAAAACAACCAAACACAATGTGTAGCTGCTGATTGGATCTTAGTTTGAAAAAACAGCATAAAAAAAAATATTATAGGAGGACTTCCCTGGTGGTCCAGTGGTTAAGAATCCGCCTTCCAACGCAGGGGACGGGGGTTCGATCCCTGGTCAGGGAACTAAGATCCCACATGTGGGGGGCCAACTAAGCCGGCGCGCTGCAACTACAGAGCCCGTGGGCTCTGGAGCCCGCTCACCGCAGGGATGAGCCTGTTGTGAAACAAAAGCTCCCACGTGCCACAACTAAGACCCAACACAGACAAAAATAAATAAATAAAAAAATATTATAGGAACAATTGTATATACTTGAGCATGGGCAGAGTATTTGATTCTATTAAAGAATTATTATTAATTGTGTTGGGTGTGATAATCATGTTGTGGCTAGGTATACGGTGGTCTTTAATTTTTAGAGATGTGTACTGAAGTATTCAGGGGTGAAACGTCATGATGTTTGTACTTTAAAACACATCAACAACAAAAACAGCAACAGAAAAATAGATGACGCAAACATGGCAAAATGTTAAGAACAATTAAATGTTGGTAATAGGTATGAGGATGTCCATTATATTATTTTTTTTCCCCATGACATTTACTGTTTGAAGTAAGACAATGGGGGTATTTGGATGCAGCTTAAAAACGAATAATGCTTGTTACTGTCAGGTATTTTTCTTGCTATGTTTATTTATTGACTCATCAGTCAATTTCTTCCCTCCTCCACTTAACTGTAAATCCACGAAAACAGGGACCTTGCTCGTTTTGATTATCCTTAGCACCTGTATCCCTAGCACAGGACCTAGCACACAGTTGGATTTTAATTTTTTTTTTTTCTGCTAAACTTAATTCTCACTGATGTCGTTGGCCCTTATTCATCATTGCCGGTCTTTGCTTTGCTGGTTCTTGCTGCATCTCTGGCTTTCTAGGGTCCCCCATCCGTAGCCCTCCCCTGCCTCGTCTTGGTCTATCCTTGGTCACAGGAAGCAAAGTACTGTCGGTGGCCCTTGTGCCCACCATAGTCTCAGTGCCAGCCTGCAGCCGTCTCCCACCCTCCCCTGTGATTTTCTACCATCACACTGTTGACTCCTGGAGGGCAGGGACTTTGCTTGACACTTCTTCATAGTTGCTGAAGCACTCAGCACCACATGCAACCAGTGCTCTGAAATCATTTGTTGATTGATCACTTGTATTCATCTCCCTCTTGGCCTCACTTCACCCTCTTCTGATGAGAAATATTTTCATGTATTACTTTCTTTTCTCTCTGTCTTTTTTTTTTTTTGGCCGTGCAGCTTGTGGGATCTTAGTTCCCTGACCAGGGATTGAACCCGGGTCCTTGGCAGTGAGAGCTCAGAGTCCTAACCACTGGACCACCAGGGGAATTCCCTCTCCTATTATTTCTAATTATACAAGTAACATATGGTCATGGTAGAAAATTTAGAAGATAGAAATAAACTAAAAGAGAAAGGATTAATGATCTGAAATCTTATTTCCCATTGTTATCATTTTCATACATTATTAACTTTTCTTTATGTGTATATTAAAATGTTTTTCTCTCTATAAAATGGCATTATTTTTATCCTACTTTCTTCCCCAGCAAAATATTGAGAATATTCTTCCAAATCAATACGTATACATCTATGCCATCATTTTAAATATTTGTATTCTTTTATAAGGCTATACCATAATTTACTTAACTAGTCCCCTATTGGTGGGCATTTAGGTTGTTTCCAATTTGCTACTGTATTGAACATCCTTGCTTATATCTCTCTTTATGCATATGTCAATCATCTAGTCGTTCGTTCAGTAATTTTTATTGAGTCCCTTCTGTGAATCAGGCTCTTTTCTAGGCAGTGGAGAAATAACCACAGTGGGTTTTGTGAGGTAAAAATGCCTTTATTATTATTGTTTTTATTATTATTAAAGACTTTTTTTTTTTAAGAAGACGTTGAGGGTAGGAGTTTATTAATGAATGAATTAATTTTTGCTGTGTTGGGTCTTCGTTTCTGTGCGAGGGCTTTCTCTAGTTGTGGCAAGCGGGGGCCACTCTTCATCACGGTGCGCGGGCCTCTCACTATCGCGGCCTCTCTTGTTGCGGAGCACAGGCTCCAGACGCGCGGGCTCAGTAGTTGTGGCTCACGGGCCTAGTTGCTCCGCGGCATGTGGGATCCTCCCAGACCAGGGCTCGAACCCGTGTCCCCTGCATTAGCAGGCAGATTCTCAACCACTGCGCCACCAGGGAAGCCCATTAAAGACTTTTAATACATATTGCCAAAGTGCCTCCAGAGAGACTGGATTGGTTTCATTCCCACCTGCAGTATGTATGTCCCAGGCCCCATCCTACCATGGTCCTTAAGGGCCAGCTCCAGACGGCCTCTGCGGGGAGGGGTCCAGCAGTGTGTCTGGCATCCGTTCTCTGCTCTCCCCCTGTCTGGGGTTCTTTCCTTGGCCATACCCCCTGCCCTTTCAGTATCAGCTCAGGCCTTTTGTGTCTCCCTTTTCTAGCGCCACGACCCAGTAGCTTCCTGCCAGCCTCTGAGCAGGCCTTTGATTTCTAGGTTCCCTGCAGATACTTCCTCCATCTGCCATGGCCCCATGCAGTGCTCCCCACAGAGTCAGCACCACTCTTAGCCCCTAAACAGAGTGTTCAGACAACCAGAGGATGAGAAGCAGGCAGGATTCTGGGACTCCACTGCTGATGACAGGTTTTCTCCTTCCTCTGTTTCTCTGTCTAATTTCATCAATAAACTCAGGAGCCAATCAGGGGATCTCCCTTGATCTCTGTGCAGGAATAGCTGGAATTGAATCTCAGTCCTTGGCCTAAATCCTTCCAGGGCAACAGGGACATCCCTTGGCATCCAAAGATTAGTGCAGAGTGAGCAGCCATGTATTTGGACATGGCCCTGGGGACAGAGGGGTCAGTGGTCCTATGGAAAGGCATTCTGTCCTGACAGGCTGGAGACTTGGGTCTGAGCCCTGGCTCTGTGTGTCCTGTGTGACCATAGTAGACAACTTTTGGAGTGTCTGCTCAGCTCACTGCTACCCCTATCTGTGCATCTACCTACCAGTGAGGTGGCCTTTGGTCGCGATCGTTACGTAATATGACCCTCTCTCCTCAGCCACATTGATTGGACCAGGGGTGGGCATGGGATCCAAGCTGGGCTAATCAGATTCCTTCTGAGAACTGGGATTTGATATGGTCTACAAGTCACTATAAGGACATGAAACAGAGGTGAGAAAAACTGGAAAGAAGTGCACGGAGATGCATTGAAGGGTGGCCTGCAGGAGAGAAGCAAGAGGCAGAGACAACTGTCCTGAGCTCTTGGTGGTTTTCCAGTTCTTGGTCCCAGGCTAGGGGAGGCCCTGGGTATTCCTGCCTTGGGGGTGCTCTGTGACACTCCAGTGTTATAACAAAACCCCCCTTTTTGCTTAAGCTATCTCTGTAATCTGCAAACAAG